GTAGAATCGACACGAATTTCTTTACATACGGTACTGCATTTGCGGCCTGTGATGATGCTAGTGCAATCGGTGCGCACAACAGTGAATTCCGATTGCAGTAGTAGCTATTTCCTGCAATCGTTTTACAACACCAGATCGCTTGCCGGTCATAACAGCGGCGCCGTCTGTTCCCACGCCAACCAATTTTTCGTAATCGAGTTCATTTTCCCGGAAATACGTTGTCACATGCCTGGTGATGTTTTCTGCGTTTAGTGTTACAGTATGAATGTCGTCAGCGTCTGGTTTCAGTGGCTCGACCATCTTCAAAAATTTTACACGTAAATGTCCAGTTGAGTCCAAGTACCTACAGTTTAATGTTAATTGTTCGCCGACACTCACATCGGTGGTCTCGTCCAGCATAATTGAATAAAACTCTGACTGCTTCAACTCGTTGATTGTTTTGTCTTCTAGCACTGATGATAAAATAATTATCATTTCGTGCATGGATCTCTCGCTGCAATATGTGACACTCTTACTGACGTGTAAATCTGCTTTCACTGACATTCCAAGTTGAGATAATAAATTCAACACTGGTTCAAAGTTTGTTGTATACGGTATACGACGCTTGGCGAGGAAATACATAACTTTAAACGCAGAGGTGATGGCATCTTTTTTCACTTCGGGTTGAATAACTTCGCCGATGTTTTGGCTGGTAGCGGAAGTCATCTCACGTTTCACGGCGTCTCGATGGGCTGATGTCTGCTCGTGGTCTTTTATGCTACTCAGACGAATTCGTTTACATGCGTTTACATTCGTTTACGTGACGTCGGGCCTCCACTCAGACCGGGCAACTTCAATGGGTTACCGCCGTGCTAAGTATGGTTTCACACTTACGAGTGTTGATTGCCATTGGGCCTCTTACGTCGCCAACTCGTTGAGTTGAGTTTCACGCCTATTGTTTTTTTTAATGAGTGACATAACCCAAGCTTTGATTATCCGCCCCTCTCAAACATTCTTTTGTCTTCCAGCGCTCTCGTTGCGTCATGAACAAAAACAATAGTGCCGGACGGCAGCCATGTGTGCCGGTCGCTAATTCTGAGTTAAGCCAGGTAATAGGATGGTCAGCAATACACAAGGTCTCAAGGAAACTGATACACTTCTTATGTTTCCACCTCTGATACTTGTTTCTTTCCTCTCAACAGCTGTAGCTTTGTCAATCAGTAAGCAATAGAGAGCGCTGTTATAATGATTCATGTCAGAGCTACAAATCGGGGTCATGAGTTACCCTTGTTGCACTGATAATAGACAAATAAACATTTTTCACTGTAGATTTATATTTTGTGGCCAACGTGGTGAGATTAGTATATTCATCATTGACACAAATTAATGGGGGAGTCACAGTAATTTACAAGATATTTTTTTTTTAATGCATGGAACTTTGAACCACAATTCATGAACAATATCCTTGAGTCTTGATAATCGTATATTGCAAGTACTCTAACTTGAAACTAAATTGGTTCAATGTGGCAACTTTCAAATATCGGGAAAACCAGCGAAATTTGAACATGAACAGATGGATATTGCATTTATTCACACAGGTGTTTCTCATTACAAATACAATAAACAGATCACGATCACGGCAGAGTGCAAGTTTCAAATCCGTTATTGGTGAATTTGATATTATAGGTAACTGGTATTGTGACAGATGCTGCTGGTACAGCAAAGTATGTCATATCTGGTACTTGGGATAAGAAGATGGAAGCTGCTAAGATACTACACGGTGGTGAAAGACCCAGCTCAGGTAGTAAAGAGAAACAAGTATACCAGACTGGACCCCCTAGACTACTCTGGCATCGCAATTACCCACCGTGAGTTATACCCTTTAGGATGATAGTAATGAATTTTCCTAGCCTATTTAGGAGGAGGGGATATGATAAATTGTTCAGCATTATGAGGTATATTTGATATAAACCTCATCTTTTACTGCACAAGGTTAAACAAAAACTTTATTATAACACACAGCACCAGATTTTGTGATGTGATTGGCGCGTTTACAGTCAACTGTTTTTAGCTGCTCAAAACTGTTTGAGGATAGTTGGTTAACTGCTGTTAAGTTTTGGTTGCTATGTGGTGATCGGCACACTAATGCTAATTAATTATTAATTGATAGTCCTGGTACGGATCTTACATATGGTATGACTGAGATGGCATGCTCCTTGAATGAACCAGAAGAGGATGTGGCTCCTTCTGACTCTCGATTGAGACCTGACCAACGCCTCATGGAGGAAGGTTTGTGGAATGAAGCAAACCAGGTCAAGGTTCAACTGGAAGAGAAACAGAGAGCGCGTAGACGCAAGCGAGAATCAGAAGGTGAGGATATCACTGTAATTCTCACTCATGTTTTGTTGTCATGGGAATATCACCGGCCAATTTATTATCAGTCAGCACAGGAAATCAGTCATGCAGCATGTTTATTGTTGACAAGGCAAATTAATCGGCTATCACAGCAGAATAACACAAAGATATACAAAAAAACAATAAATTCAAAAATCTTTAAGTATTTCAGTAACAGAAAATGCTGGATATGAAGTAGAAATACCATATGAATGTGTTGAGTCGTTGCTGTATTATGTGTGTTCAATCTTACAGGTAAACCAGTGGAAACTCACAAGGCTGTCTGGTTTGAAAAGAAACAAGACCCCTTGACCAAATCACTCATACATGTATTCAATGGACAGTACTTTGAAGCTAAAAAGACACAAGATTGGGGAAAATGCCCCGACATTTTTACCATATAAAGGATTGCCAGGTCGCAGTCTCCATGTTTACAAGTGTACATTTCTTCATGGACTTGGTGCTGGAGTTTTCATTTGGAGTCGGCATGTAGTTGTCACAGGCTCTGACAGATTTTTTTTAAAGACTATTTCAAAACTTAAAAACATTTGAATATCAATGATTAAGCCCAATTGTTGGGTTCTGAAGTCGTTAATTAGCCTTTTGGGGAGTTAATTTTTGAACTGTGGGAATGAGAAGCTTCCTTGTGGATGGCTCACTATGGACTATTTCACACTGTTGATTGGAAGGGATGTGACAACAGTTTTAAAACAATGTTAAAAACCATGCAGTAGATGGTATGAGGAAATGACATTCCTTCAACTGTACATTTATTATTTCTCTCTACAACTTGCATTGATAATCCTCCTGAAAGTGCTAAAGTGTTGAGCTCTTTCCATGTTCTGCTGCTGCAGTGCTTCCAGTCACTGTGCATGTTTCATGTATGAAACTACGCTTATATTCTGTGGATAGAGGGCAGTATGTAGAACTGCCTTTATATTTTGAGGATAGAGGGCGGTATGTAGAACTGCCATTGTATTCCGTGGATAGAGGGTGGTATGTAGAACTACCCTTATATTCTGTGGATAGAAGGTAGTATGTAGAACTACCCATATATTCTGAGGATAGGTGGTATGTAGAACTACCATTATATTCTGAGGATAGAGGGGGGTATGTAAAACTACCCTTGTATTCTGAGGATAGTGGTATGTAGAACTACCCTTGTATTCTGAGGATAGAGGGTGGTATGTAGAACTGCCTTTATATTCTGTGAATAGAGGGCGGTATGTAGAACTACCCTTGTATTCTGTGGATAGAGGGCGACATGTCGAACTACCCTTATATTTTTAGGATAGAGGGCGGTATGTAGAACTGCCATAGTATTCTATGGATAGAAGGTGGTATGTAGAACTGCCTTTATATTCTGTGGATAGAGGGCGGTATGTAGAACTACCCTTGTATTCTGTGGATAGAGGGCGGTATGTAGAACTGCCTTTATATTCTGTGGATAGAGGGCGGTATGTATAACTACCCTTGTATTCCGTGGATAGAAGGTGGTATGTAGAACTGCCTTTATATTCTGTGGATAGAGGGCGGTAAGTAGAACTACCCTTGTGTTCTGTGGATAGAGGGCGACATGTCGAACTACCCTTATATTTTAAGGATAGAGGGTGGTATGTAGAATTGCCATAGTATTCTAAGGTGGTATGTAGAACTACCCTTGTATTCTGAGGATAGAGGGTGGTATGTAGAACTACCCATATATTCTGATAGAGGGCGGTATGTAGAACTACCCATATATTCTGTGGATAGAGGGCAGTATTATAAAACTACCCGTATACTGTAAAACAATTTATTTTCACTTGTGTTTAATTTCACTATTTTGATGTTTTGAGCAATTTTACTGGGTTTTAAGTTCACAAACTTGGCAGAAAAACAATAACTATTATTTTACATGTTCATGTTCATTTAATTTAGCGGGTTTTACTTATCGATGAAAATAGCAGTTAAAAACCAGTGAATAATTAATGCACTTACAGTATTCGGTGGATAGAGGGCGGTATGTAAAACTACCCTTATATTCTGTGGATAGAGGGCGGTATGTAAAACTACCCTTATATTCTGTGGATAGAGGGCGGTATGTAAAACTACCCTTATATTCTGTGGATAGAGGGCGGTATGTAGAACTATCCTGTGAATAAAATTGGGCAGTATGTAAAACTACATTTTATTCTGTGGGTGAAAGGTCAGTATGTAAACTATCCTTAAATTCTGAGGACAGAAAGTGGCAGGGTTCCTACATTTTATTTTTACATATTTAAGTCTTTGAAAAAATGATATAAAAAAAATTTCAGAGGTCTTGAAATGTTTTAAAAATGAAAGGAATTTCAAAATTATGCAATATTGACACGCTGTATGCCACAGTCCTGAATTTCCAAAAATATGGTTGTGAAAAGTCTCAAATTTTCTATGCTAAAACCTGTGGGAACCATGTTGAGACTACCCCTTTAGTCTGTGAATAGAGGGTGGTAAATGTATGTTATTTTCAAATCAAATCAGTATTTGAAACAGAACTGAATAAATCAAGAGACTCTCTCATTGGTGTTGTGTTTTAAACTAATTAATTATGCAAGCTGCCATGGCTTTTCAATTTAAAAAAAAGGTATCTGTACATTAAAAACTTGAAAAATATATGGTGTTAATATTCTCATGATAATGTTAGTTTTTTTTTTTTAAATTTTAAATTTTTTGGGTATTGATTCTTTGTCTTTGGTCTAGGGTTATTAAGGTTCAAATGTATCAATGTTGTCATTTTCACTTTGAGGATGTGTACGGTAAGAGTGCATACAACAATTCTTTGTTGCTCTTCAAATCTGTTTTACACAGTGAACATTTTTTTCCTCTAACTGAACACACCCTTGCAGTGAGTTGGTGAACAACACAGCTTTATTCCTATTCCTATGTTTGACCCAATGACCACACTATAAGTTTGTAACAGTAAGTACAATCCGTTTTTTGTTTAATACCAATGTGTATTATCTCTTCCATGATAACTCTAGGCTTTTTCCGTTGGAATTGTCTTCAATCCACGAACCAGAACAAACTACATACACCTCCATATAATTCCGGTCTTCCCATTTTTTTGCATTTTATGTACATTTTTTGTAGAATATAACTGATGGCTGGCATAAATGGAGAGCAGTCTCCTCAAGACACAAGATCCTATATGATGATTGTTATTTTGTATTTACAATAAATTAGAATATAACTTGCTTCAAATTTACTTGCAGGTTTTCTGTGCTGTATACAATTACATGGTTTATAGAGGACATTTGATAATTTCATTGTGTTTATTAAAAATGAATTGCCATTTAATGAGTTGTTGTAGTATTGATTCAACATTTTTTAATTGTACTTGTAATTAAATATTTGGTGCAATACAGGCCGCTGTTAAGGCTGGCTATATTTTGAAGAAGGAATTTTGTAAAAAATAAGATAACTAGATATAGACTAGTGTGTTGAATTAGATTGAATTATTTTTCATCTTTAATAGTAGGAATACGTATCCCATCCATAGTTTTAGTATTGTTAAGAGAGAGATCACTTATGCAATCTTATCTTCATTTTAAGGTGAAAATGTATATATATCAGATTACTATTGAGATGGTATTTGCCTTTTCCAGTGATATTACCTAGACACATTTTGATGATTCAGTAGGATGGTTGGTAAAACACTGTCAAATATTGGGCTTACCATCATTGATTGTTGATATTTCATCGTCATAGTAATATTTGATAATTCTTTTTGTGAGAAGTAATGGAAATATGTCATGTCTGTATTTCCTTCCCCCACCAGTTGGTTTCACAAAGTAAAACCTTCCCATTTGCCAACTTGTTTTTTCATTGATATTAAATGAATAAATAGCAAAAATGTAAAAAACAAAAAGTCTTGACTCCGGCATATCTGAGACATTCAATAGAGTTGTTATAGTGTCATTTCCAAGGTCACAATCTCAAGTTTTGTACATTAGCAAGGAATCAGAATTCTGTAAATACACAAAGTGACTTTTTTCTTTGTTTTCAGTAATTGATCAACTATCAAGTTGATTATTGTTGATAAGGAAAATCTTATAATCTCTATCCATTGCTGAATCCTTGTAATTTTGTGGATGGGTTGTACTATTCACGGGTATAGGGTGTGACAGGTGGTTGTATAATAAATTAAGTAATGCATAAATAAAATACAGGGATTGTATTGGGAAACTGGGGGAATTTTACAGTTTAATGATGATACTGTTGAAATGGGAAAAACCAGACGTTCACAGCTTTAGATATTCCATTGTGTGTCTTATAAGCTCTATGTTCTGTGATCGCTCTGGTTTGTGCTTGTCAAACGTGTAACTGTAGGTTACTGCCCAACAAATTAATCTCTAGGAGTGTTTAGGGAAGTGCAGATTTGCATTGATACATGCTTTACTGTCTACGTACTGAACTAAAAATGCAGTTTTTTGAAGCCTTTGTGGGACAATTCAAGAAATGAACTGTTTCTTAGATAAGAGTGCCCTCTACAGTCGGCAGTTGCATTTTGTCAACGTTCACTTTTATGACAATGTCACCCCTGACTGTGGATGTGATTGGAAATAATGTTCCTTCTCTCAGGTCAGCAATTCTAAGTCTGTCAAAGTGAGTTTTCAATCTGCTTCCTTACAACAAACATACTGTCACCGCTAGCATTTGATTTATCGCTAGCATTTGATTTATCGCTAGCATTTGATTTATCGCTAGCATTTGATTTATCGCTAGCATTTGATTTATCGCTAGCATTTGATTTATCGCAAGCATTTGATTGGCCCACTGCCCCTAATGTCATTGTTTTTGTATGGTTGAACCTGTACCAGTATCTGTAAATGAAAGAATGAATAAATAATAGAAAAACTGACTGTTCTAGCATGTATTGCACTTAATCATGTATGCATTCAATAATGCGGGGCTGTACCCAGCCATGCTTTTTAAAAGAAAAATGTGGATACTACCGATAATGCCTGAGCGTAGTGATACGACTACTCTATGTAGTCACCAAGAATGGTTACAATGAGTGTATAGTAATAATATTGTGTTGGTTTCCTCGATAAGTAATGTGTGAAGATTACAATAGTAAAATCATCGGCAAGGCACGGGGCCGGGCATGTTTCGTCGAAGGTTTGATATACACTTAAGTTTAAGTTTGACATTCCCCTTAACTGGTCGTGCATTCTTGTACACTCTGGTTTCTACCTAGTCAATGGTCATGAAGTATATTTTCCTTAGAATGAATGCAATCCACACGTCATGGGGGAGAGTTTATTTTCAAGGAGTTTCTTGGTCGCCAAGTTTCTTGTTTACTGGTTTATATGTACCACTTTTGACGTAACAGTCCCAAATTTGTTGACATCGTATCTAGAAAATTTGAATTTATCAGCAGTGCGCTGTACCACTCGTTATATCTACTTGAGACCCATAAATTTTCAATAATGTTGTTCACTACATTAATAATTTTTTCATATACAACCAGAAGTAGTGTATTACGCAAA